TTAAAAAAAAAAATCAGTAGAAAGGGCTGGAGTAGTCACTTAGTGAGAAGGCTCTAGGTTCAATCTCCAGTACCACAAAACAAACAAAAACTTCAGAAGGGAGACATGGACTTTAAAAATGAGACATTCCATAAAAACTACCAAACGGAGTTCTGACAATTCTTGTAAATTTTCGGATGAAGAAAATAAGAACCAGGGAGCAAGAATGTGTGGGGAAATTGCCATCTAGAATGGGTAGGAAAGAGAAACAATGAAGTGTATTTCCCACTGGATATGTGAAGAGGGAGAGAATGAAACTTATTTTTCGCTCTGTGTTGGGGGTTGTACAAGCCCCAGGGTAAAGGAAAATGTTTGAATGAATTTGTGAGTCCCTCAGGAACTAAAGGCAGATCATAGCCCAAGGTGTAAATACAATCCTTTTATTTCCCTTTTTCTAGGTTGAATCTCTTCTCTGGGGAAGATACCAAGCAAGCTCTTATCCTGTTTATTACCAATCACTTTGTGTCACTGATTCCACATTAAATCTTTCACGTCATACTAAGTGGCAAATGTGACAATAATGTACACTGTTTTTCTCTGTTATGTAAAAGGACTAGAAGTCATAATCAGAAAACGTGATCTATAGTTAATAAAAATTTCCAGGCCCAGGTGGAAATTCAGTCTCCCTTGTCTCCTCTCAGTATCCAAGGAAACAAACCCTAAAATCCTGAAATTCTCTTTGCAGGCCTTTGGTGAACAAGTAGCAAGGATAAGGAAACACCAAACTTTTCTGGTCTATGGATGGTGAGTTTATAAATTCTATGACTATTAATGTCCTCCTTTGCATTCAGGGATCTAAGTTAGGTTGTTTGTTTCTCCCATTTTGGGCAGTCCTGAGACTCAAGTAGAGCAGGCAGAGGAATTTGTTCATAGGGGGTGCAGAAAATGTTCAGAAACATTAAGGAGTTTGGAGTATACAGATTGTATTAGGCAACGTGTTCATTGTTCAAGGACAGAACTCTCCCTGCCCTAGGAGATTTAGAACTTTAATTTTGTAGTATGATTAGTGACTCACCTCTCCTAGATCTATTTTCTTGCCTGTGGATTTTAGAGGTTATACTTCAACTGCTGAGTATAGATCAGCACCGTGGTGCTAAGGCCTCTGCTTCCAGTTTTACTAGTGAGAGGGTAGATAGGTGAAGCAAAAGGGTGAGGAAATGAGAAAGATCATTCTTTCCTGGAGTCCTTTCTTTGTTATCCCTTGATTTTTGAGCAGTCACATTTGGATATGGCAGCACCAGCCTTTACTTTGTAGGTCAGCTGGTGATGCACTTTAATATGGTTAGCTTAGTAAGACTCTAACAAGTGGATGTCCATGTCAGCATCTGGTCATGATAAAGACTAATTCTATGGGCTCAGATTGAGTGAGACTTAGACTTGGCCAGTATATACTCTTTTCTAGTGGGAAGAGATAATGCAGGAAAAATAAGGATGTCCTTTAATGTGACCCCTTTTTCCATGACCACAGATTCTACTAGGGAAGAATGGCTCTTGAAAATGTCTCTTTTGTGAATGAATTCATTCTGATGGGGTTAACAGACCAGCCAGATCTCCAACTCCCACTCTTCTTCCTGTTTTTACTAATATATATGATCACTGCATTGGGAAATCTGGGATTAGTAACTTTAATTGGACTTAATTCACACCTTCACACTCCCATGTACTTTTTTCTATTCAACTTGTCCTTTATTGACCTCTGTTACTCTTCTGTGTTTACACCCAAAATGCTCATGAACTTTGTATTAAAGAAGAATGCTATCTCTTATACAAGATGCATGACCCAGCTTTATTTTTACAGCTTTTTTATTATTTCTGAGTGCTATGTGTTGATGGTAATGGCCTATGATCGTTATGTGGCCATCTGTAATCCACTGTTGTACAACGCTGCCATGTCTCCTAGAATGTGTTGCAATCTTATGCTTGGTTCATACCTGATAGCATTTTCTGGTGCCATGGCCCACACAGCATGCATGCTGAGACTGACCTTCTGTGATACAAACACCATCAACCACTATTTCTGCGACATTCTCCCTGTGATGCAGCTCTCCTGCACCAGCACCTACATCAATGAATTGGAGGTTTTCATTGTGGTGGGGATCAACATCTTTGTGCCCACTGTCACTATCTTCATCTCTTATGGTTTCATCATCTTTACTGTGTTTAACATCAACTCCACTGAGGGTAGATCCAAAGCCTTCAGCACCTGCAGTTCTCACATAGTTGCTGTTTCTCTCTTCTTTGGGTCAGGTGCATTCATGTATCTGAAGCCATCATCTGCTGGGTCTATGGATGAGGTAAAAATCTCTTCTGTCTTTTACACCAATGTGGCTCCCATGATGAATCCTTTAATTTATAGTCTGAGGAACAAAGATGTTAAAGTAGCCCTGAGAAAATCCTTGACCAGGAGAAAGTTTTGATCAGTAATTTAATTTCTATATGCACTTAATTATAAGACATGGAGTCTATTTTAATAGATGAGCAAATAGCTATTCCTATTATTTCTCATCATGGTGACAGTTGAAGATTCTCTCCATGTGTTTCCAATTTTACTAATATTCATTTTCCCCTTCACAGACACATTTTTTATTTTCATCATTTTTCCTATTTAATAATAAAATTAAGGAAGATTTCATCTCTATTTTTTCTCCTTGTAATTATGAACTATTTTTCTTTTGGTAAAAATAAAAATTTTGCAAATGACAAAATAAATGTTAAGATGATATTGTACCATTTCAGAGGATGTGTTTCTTTTCTTGTTTTGTTCTATTCTATTGGAAACAAATGAGATGTGTTTTCTATACCCTTGTCCTTCTATCCTCCAGTGGGCAGGAAATGTCTCCTTTGAATGCCAGTGTTTCACACATATACATCCCCAGGTCTACCATATGCAATACATTTTGCTGTTGCAAACTCTATGCATTCATCTTCTTTTTGTCATAATATTCATACATACTGTGTAAAGCAAACTAGCTTATGGAAGATAGCCAATATGTATTTATTGCATGGATAGTATACTGAAGCTCAGTAAGGTTAACAATTGAAAGACTCACTGCTCTTTAATGAAAAGGCATAGAACAAGCCAATAGCCTACTTATTTTAACTCTCCTGCTGTTTCATATGTGCTTCCCCCTTTTATTTGCTGTATTTCATTAAACATGACAAATATTTCTGTTTTTAAAGTTGACAATGCCTTGTCTCTAAATGTTACGTAAACTTATATCCAGGTATTTTGTTATTGCTATTCTAGAAAACAGTTTCAGGTTTCCTTTTGCTGTGAAAGAAGAGGCCTGTTGAGACAGGAGAGTCGAGAGATGATTGGCTCAAGGAGGGAGCTCAGTGTTGTACAAAACCTAAAAACAGAATTTGAAATGTTTTCAGGTATTTTAAACTTAGAGAATGAGTGTGAGAAAGAATCCCAGCAACATGTCCTTAGTCCAGGACCCCAAAAGGCACATGGCTTTTAGATAGGAGGTTGGTCTAAGGAATGGTGATTAAAGGTGTAAAAGCTGCATTTCAGCATGAATTTGTATTTGTTCTGCAAAGTACTACAATATGCTTCTCTACCATGGAGCTTTGATCAATCTTATAATCCACAATGGCCATACATTAATAATTTTGGAGGAATTGATATGAAAAAGGCATGGCCACTTCTGTGAGAAATGTGGAAGAGGAAGGATATGAAGCTCAGGAGAAACACCATGAGTGGTAACTGAAACAAGATAAGAATTTAGAAAGTGAAAAAGATGGAAAACTAAAGCTCCTCCAGTAGCTATGGGAATTTTCTCCAAATTGGAGGACTTTACAAATATTATAGGAGTCGCAAGTTTATCTGTGTAGGATGAGTCTTAAGGTTTTTGGTATTAAAAAATGTTAAATCTAGAATGTGGAAGGTCCTGGGAAGAATTAAATAATTCCAGTTTTGTATGCTTTCACATTTTATTTCCAGATTGACTTTTAGATGTTAAAATATCATATTGTAGTTAGGAGAGCAATGAAAATTTGAGAGAATTATTTGCTGAATAAACCAAAAGATGACAATTTCATTTCTAAAATACAGTGTATCATTTTCCCTTTGAGAAAACTGACAAAAAAGATGATGAGTTCAAAAATCCTTAATCCTTACTTCTTAACCAAAAGACAATTAAATGTTTTCTAAAATAACTGTAATATTTACTATATTATAACTTTTCTAATCTTCACTTAATATTTATGCATTGTAAAATTTACCATATGTGCTTTATTGTCTTGTTTGGTTATGTTTCAGTGTGGAGCATTTTTAAGTCTTTGATTTACAGTGTGAATCGATCACTCATATTCCATTCCCAAACCTACTATCAATTTGCTTGATTTTCATTCACAAAACTTCTATTTATGCAAAACAGTTGAATCTTCTAGTTTATTTTTTTCTTTAACCTACTGTTTCTTTTTAATAAAGCATATCCTCTTATTGAATGAGAAACACTTCTAAATAAGTAAATAAAATCTCTGTTATTCATGATGCTTTGTAGACATTTTAGGGATTTATTCACCTTGTCATGTGTTTTATCACTAATTGGAGTAGCCCAAGGAGTAAATTAAACTGGATCACTTAATTTTCATTTGACAAGCCTCAAAACACAAACAAAATGTTTCCATTTCAGAGAACATAAACTTTCAGCATTCTGTAAGACTTTTTGTGAAGAAAAATAATGTTCACAAAGACATAAAGACATTGTAAAAGTTAAGGGTGTCACAGTTAAGACACAATTATTTTGATAGATTTTGCTTAGCATTTTTAAGTATGCTGCTTAAAGGTTTTATTCAAAGGAAGTAAAAAACGTAAAAGAAAGTAAAATGATATTAAATTTTTACATCTGAGATTTAAAAAGTAAGCCATGGGATTCACCTGAGTCTGCATACTCCAAAAAGGATATTTCTAAATCAGTGGGGAAACTTGAACTTTCTGAGTGATAGCTGAGAAAAATTTTCCAGCGGAAAAATGTGCTCATTACATTTAGAATTAGCTTAATGTAAACTTTCTCTAAGCAAGCTATGATTGTTGGTCAGGCTTAATTTGGAATGAATGTAGTCAGAGTTCACTCTCGTTAAAGGCTGATGAAAGCCGGAAGTAAAAGGGCTTGATTTCTATATCCCTATACTTCCTTAACCTCCAGTTTTCATTGACCTTCATTTTGTAGCCCTCTTCACACTGTTACCCTAAAGAATTACATCCTACCTGTTTAAAAATTCTAAAATTGTCTTATCTAGCCAGGACTACTCCTAAAAACTGATTGTGAGAGCTGATGAATTTTTCTATAAATCTACCTCAGCTGGCTCATTTCTTGGTTAGTTTGGCTGAGTATCAGATGAAGTAGGTTGTTTCAGGGACCATGTTTTGCAAAACTTTTATCTTTCCACATTAAAATCTCAATGTGTAGAAGTTTTTCTTCTGAGGCAGGAATTCCATCTGCCTTAGCATGTAGGAGGTTGATAGAATCACCTGAACTGTTCAAGTTCTCTCTCTCCGGCATGAAACTGAAGACCTACTTTGGACATCAAGCTATAGGTTTGCACAGGGGGGCACACATACTCAGAGGAGGAGTGCCTTCTGCACTTTCCCATCTGTCATTCACTGTTATCCTCAGGCAAGTACTGGAAGGTCAGCAGGTGAGGGATCATAGAGCTCATCTCATAGATGATGGGCCTGACGCTAACAGAAGTTTATGGCCCGTTCCAAATCATAATTTAGAAATAGTTGAGCAGACACTATGAATAGACATTTGGAATCTAAATAATCTTTTTTAAAATTATGAAAAATGTGCATATTTTTAAAAATTATCACAATGCGAACAATGGTTTTTGTGAAGAATAGTGCCTAAAAGCATAAATGAGAACAAGATACATGAGAACAAGATACATAAGAAAAATATCCAGAAAGTACCCTATTACTTAGTTCATATTTCATAACTCTCTCACCTAATTCAGAATTGTGAATATATTAAGTTTTAATGGCCTAGACAATAAATGGAAATGAATGAGAGTGGCCTATATCATCATTCTTGTTTTTAGTCCCAGGGTCAGCACTTAATTTGCACATTCAACATCTTATTTAATCACACATCAATCATGTTTGGGAGGCACCCATATGAGCAGCCCACTGAGGCTGAGACTGTTGCTATTCAACCCCTCTTCCAGAACACACTCTCCCCAGGCTTTCTCCAGTGATGTGGCATGTGGCAGTTCTAGAAATGAAGGATACCATATCAGGCCTGTGGTGTCCCCTTTCACATTATCTTTGTCTTTTGGTAGGCTGATGCACATGACAGTGAGGTCCTATTTAGATGCTGAAACTATGAAGAAAAGTCAGAATCAGGATGAAGAGGGAAGAATCAATGGAGACACTTATAAGATGGAACCTATGGAGGACTCTGACAATATTCTATTCCTAGATCTGTAATGTGGTTTTAAAGTCTATTTTAAAATAGGTGGAAGTCCATGTAATTTATAACACCTTTACATTTGTATTTATGTAAATTTCCCAATATAATCAGGTTACAAAACTTTGATTAAAGCAAGACTTTAAGTGAGCAATACACTAATTCATAAAGAGAGACTGAAAGTAAATCCCTGCATATAAAAATGATTTCCTAGTGCTAACTGCCTCACCTAGGAGAAGACCAGCAGATAAAACATATAGACTAATTCAGACTGGGTCGGGCATAGGAGTCTCAATACCAGCCCATATGTAGAATTCCCCCCAAGTTCCATGGGACAATGAAAATCAACATATCATCCAGATTGTGTGGACTTGTGCTTTGTTTAAGTCATTATTCTTGGATTAATGGGATCCTAAACAGTGTATTATATAATTTTATTTTCTCTACTCCTTCAACATTCTTGATAAGTCTTTCCACAAATAACTTCTTCAGTCATTATTTGTAATGGCTCTTTCTTCCCCACTTCTCCCCAATTACAAAAAAATTGTAGTAAAATGTGAAAGATGTATCATCTTAACTATTTTAAAAATGTACACTTGGTTTATATTATAGTCATAATGTTGTGTAATCATCACTACTAGTCAAATCTAGGACTCTTTATATGTTGTAAAATTAAGGCTTTTAATCCATTAAACAGTCATTCCCCATTGTTCTCTCTCCCTAAACACACACAACCACCATTCTATTTTCTATCTATATTTGGCTACTCCAAATGTGTCACATAAGTGGATTTACAGTATTTTTATTTCTATGGCTAGAATTCTATACTTAGCACACTATCTTCAAAGCACCTTCATGTTTTAAGATGCTAAATGTACTTCTTTTTAAGGTTGCATAGTATTGCATTGTGTATATACACCACACTTTGCTTATCCACTTGTTGCAGGACAGTTGTCTTGCTTCCCATTTTAGTTTTTGCGAGTAATGCTAGTTGAACATGT